AAGGTGAAATTATTTATAATTTGTAGCCAGATAAAAATGCGGCTTTTAGAACACATGGCTTTCTTAGAAGGGATGCTGGATCGGTTACGATATTTTTGCATCGAGACAAGCAACATTAATGGTTTCAACTATAAGAGGATGCAATTGACTGATAGAATGTGCAAGGCGACGTCTCGATTTGTCATTTCGCTGTTGCATGTACTACTTGATGTCGACGCTAACACACGCACACCTCTGTTGTGGCACGACATTCTACTTAATTCCGTGACAGTGAATGAGAAGACAAATACTTTGTATCGCAATTTGCAACAAATGTGTCAATTGTTCGATGAGCTCGATACAAAATCGACAAATTTGTGAGTGTAGAAGTGTAGATCACAGATTGAGTGAACGTTCCGATATTTATTTCAGTGTTTTTTCTTTTAGCTTTCTAAGCACTGTAGTAACTGCCGTATTAACGTATCACCTCGGTTGGGTGTACACTGTGTTATCTCCTCATGATCGGCACATGGTGAGTTAAAAAAAAAATTGCAAAACTGAGAATAATCTTAAAATCAATACAGAAATTGTATGTATCGGATTAAAATGTCGTTATATAATGAGTAGAATAAAATTAATAAAATCTTTCAAAAATTTTACAGATTTACATATTTGTACTCTATCTATTGTATATTGTCTTATAGAAAAAAGAAGTATTTTGTCATGAAAGTTATTTTGACTTATATTTTATGAAGCTGTGAAATCTTCTAAAGAGTCAGATTTTGCAATATAATTATAAATAAAATAATCTGTTATTTACTTACGGCATAAATGTAATCAAAACTATATTTCGTCTTGCAGAAATAATATTTCATCATGAGATCTTTTCGGTTTCTTTTTTTGTGAAGGCACATGCATATCTAGATTTTACAATTTGGTTCTTAAAACATTATAATAAATTATCAACACTTTAACACTGCACTTATAATGCAAATTAAATGAGATATCAAAACGAATTTTTATCCTTTTTATTTTACCGTTTTTTCCAAGAAAAATGCTCCTTCAGATGACTTTCCGGACTATCGCAATTACAATTACATCGCAATTTTCTCAATATTTTTAAAATCGTAATTGGGAAAAAAGAAGTTCGTTTCCAACAGAAATCTTCAATATGTCAATATATAGTTGCTAATATTATTTATTTTATACGAGAATTCATTGAAATCAACATTATAATTTATCTCTATTTTCAGATCGAGAAATTAGGTAGCTGGTACTCTTGTAATCCATTGTGGGCACAACTTGGCGACCTGTACGGCGCACTAGGCAATCCTGTGAAAGTAGCGCATACCGTAATTGCAGGCGATCCTCGAAAAAGTGATTTGATTAATTCCGTTTTGTCGTTCCTATCTTATTTTATTCGTAGTGGGACGATACGAAAATACCAGGAATATCGCTGCACATCGCAACAAGATGTGCAAATAGCGACGAATATGCTGGAACAGGCTCGCAATAAACGACCGTATCTATTTAGTAACAAAAGATCGACGTGCATGTTCAATGATCGAAACGCCTTGATTCGCAGGTGCGAGTCGCGCGTTTTACCATCGCGTAAGTCGACACAATCGTCCGAAACCGGAACCGACAATATTAACGCACAATGCACTGCACGGTATGCTGCGGAACGACCGAGGCTCTCGCGATCAGTCAGTCCTCTGAAGCGTAGCGATACCATGAAATCCGGCCTTGACACGCTCATGATGAAATCGACCGAGGCTCTGCTAGATCTTAAGTTTCTAACGAAGGAATTTTTATTACGCGAAAATCAGAAAAGCGAGAAATACGAGCTGATGCAGGAGGATCGATCTAAGAATAGCGAAAAAAATTTCAAAGTGTCGAACGAAGTGAAAATAATTGTTAGCGAGATTGGGTCGCAGGAGGATGTCACGTCAAAGGGATATCAGCCGCAAGATTTTCTGCAGTTTCCTTTGCGAGGTTTCGAGAAGAAGTTGGGTGTGCACGATACTGAAGAGAGTCTCGCGACTGGAAAGACTGAGCTGCATCAACAGCTGAATAATGTGGATCCACTGAAAATATTCTACAGCAGACCTGAATTATCGCTTGATACGAACGATGGATTTAGTGATGAATTTAAGGAATCGCAAGTCTTCTTTACTCTCGGTGGGGAAGACAAACCTGCGAAGTTACCGTTAAGATCGCGTCTTAATAACAATTGTCAGTGTTCTTATACCTTTACGAGACTGCCTAGTACATCTGCACAACTTCCGGAGGGCGTATTGAGAAAGATCATCCAGCGAAACTTCCCTGAATCGTCGAAGAGCATGCAGCCTCCTCCGGAAGCAACGTCTAGTATGGGTGCGAGGTCCATAGGCTTTTGTTTGAAATGCAATGGTCAAGGATACGCTGCCTCGCAAGATTATGACAGCAGCAAACAAGTGTTGGAAACGCCGACGAATGCGACGGAGGTATTACGTACGTGTGGAAGTTCCGAAGGTAGTAGAACCATGAGACTGTCGCGATCCAACAGCCTTGAGGCTTTGATGGAAGCTAATAGCGTCGTGGAGTTACCAATGCCACAGTCAGTGTATTGTCGAAATACAATATAACATCCATTAAAATGAAGTCTTTATTAATTTTTTAAAGTTAAGTTAAAGTGAAATTAAAAATTTACTTAAAATTTACTCTAGATCTTTGAATTTCAGATATAATTATCTGAATTAACTAACAGAATTAAGATACAAAACAGAAGTCTTCTATCTTAATGCCATCACTTCATTGGGAGATTTATATCAAAATAATTTTGTTATTTTGTTATTTTTGTTTTTATTTTCATTTTCACTTAGATTTAATATAACTATTTTTTGTTACAGATCAAAGAAAATTTCACAGGTCAAAACTGGATTAATTAGAGAAATGGGCTTTACGAAAACTCTTATGCGAAATAAGACTATAAATGACGAGACTAATATTCTAAATACAGGTTATACGTGGGGTTTGGTGCTACAAGGTATAACTAAGAAAAAGAAGAGGAGAAAAAGGAAGAAGCTATCAGAAGATGAAAAGGATAATTCCGAAATTGAATCAGAAGAGAAGTGGTGGTCGTGTATGCGTGAAGAAGTTATGGCCAGCGCTCGATTTCCAACGATCGATCAACCGGTTGCAGAAGCACTCTGCGTACTAGCCGACTTGGACACATGGCACGTCGGAATCTTATCAAATAATACGCCTTGGCAAAGTCCTCCACTACCGGTCGGAATGTCACGTCTGGTATCGAACATGTTGGAATCCTTTGCCTATGTATGGCGAAAATATCACTCTCCTATCCATGTGAGATTTTGTCAATTTTCAATTCAATTTAAATCTCTTTCTCCCTCTTTTTCTTAAACAAATTTTATTCTTTGTAAATTATTTTTTATAAATAAGTAAATCTGTCAAACTAATGTTTTAGTGTATAGCGATTTTGGAGGCTAAACTGAGAGAATTATGGTTAAGAAGCGAAGCCTTGGCGGAAATGATGATGTCTATGGAAGAGTCTGATGCCAATGTGAGCAGCTTGATGAACGCTCTAGATCTCGATGCAGCGGACATACCACTTTTACTTGCGGTCGCAACCACTCATTCTCCGGAAATAACGCAAAGATTTGGTCTTACACTAACTTAAACCCGTTTGATTGTTTATATCAGTTTTCTTCTCTTGTTATTTTTATAGATATCTTTTGAGTAATATATCAGTAAGTTGTATTGTACCGAAGTAAAAAAAGCTAATAATTCTTCGCTCCGAATGGAATAACACATAATTAAGTACACAATATCTAAATCGTGCGCGCGTAAATCAAATTAGGCTAGGTTAGATGTTAAGACTATTCTCGCGTTTAATCATTCGTTTCAGTGTTTTTTAATGAATCATATAGTTCTTATATAACTAAATCACAATGGCTGATATCTTGCTAATAAAGTAATAAAGTAATAAAATAATAAAGTAACTGTCTATTTGATTTTTTACATGATTTAGGGCAAAGTAGCAATTGTACAATTTAATTAATAAATCCTAAATGTATTTTTTACATATATTGCTATATATTTTTAAATAATTCCTAAAACTAAAAAATTTTAATTTTTTTTAAATTTTTTAACCAATTATTTATAATTAAGTGATGCGTAATATATATTCTATTTTATGTAAATTATCAAAATAATAATGTCGTAATAATACGTAATAATATCGTTTAATAATATCATTTGAGATACATTTTAAAAGATCTTGACTTTATATTTGAAAATATAATTTATATTCAAGAAATGGAAACAACGCATGCGCTGTTTCTTTTACTTACCGTTACTTTTTATAACAATTTGATAATGATGTTGTAATTTTTTATAACTGTAACAATAATTAACAAAGCGCTAAAGTTGAGAAAGTCACAAGTCACTTTGAAAAATAACTTGTCAATATGCATTATTTGCTGAAAAATATGTTTTTTGTTATGTTGTTTCTTTTCATGTGTAAGTGTCCGAACATAGGTCTTTCTACTGTATAACCTGTCCGATCACCTCGATTTCTTGTTTATTTCCTTTTAATCAATTCCCCTTTCAGCCTTTGTATTATTCCCTGTTAACGTTACTTTCATCTATCCCCTTCCTTCGAGTTTGATAGATTATCATGCTCGCTCCTTTCCTATACATCTCCAATATATTTGATAGATTCTGTATATTTGATAGATCCTTTCTCTTTGTTCATGTCGCGAACTTTGTTTCTTTTTCTTTCATTAATATAATATATTATCATTCTTTCTTTTATCAATCAAATCCTCGAGTTTATTCCTCTTTCCTTCGAAAAAAAGACATGAGGATGGTTTAGAAATAATTTTGTCCTTTTTTTTAACTTTTGTAATTCTTGCAGTGATCGGCCACCTCTGAAATCATAGCGTCCTTTCGAGATATTCATCCATATTTCGAAGTTATCTAAGTACGTTCGACTTGCTCCATCCTCTTCCACGTGGATGCATGCGAGACAAAGGTCTCTCTAGCATCCTTCCATTATTCCATCCTTTTCATTCCTTTCTTCTCTAAATCAATCCATATGACTAGAGTTTGGACATAACATATAAACATCTTAATAAACTATAAAGGAAAACTGCCATTATCAGATTGAATATTGAAATATCTCGGAAATGGTTGACACTCTACGTCTACGCTCTATGTCTAAATAATTATATAGGGAAACACATTTTGTAATCCTATTAAGTTTTATTGAAATCGATGAAGACCATTTCTAAGCCTCTCCTTGTAAAAATTAATAGATTTTTTTACAATTAAGCTTTTTCAAAGTTAGTAACTTAGTTTTAGTTAATGAGACACTTGGTTAATATACATTCATTTTATATATTTATATTTTTATATATTTATTATTCATTTTTCTTTTTAAGTTATTT